ACTCGATAATGGGCATCTTTATAGACCTGACAGGAATGACCCACCGTGCATGGGAGGGCAGGAGAGAGGTCCTGCAGTAAAGCCCTATGCGGTGCGGGGTAGGGGGTCACCTTGCATAGCTGACGATCACACACTACTTGCCAGGCCTAAGACAGTCCAGCCTCCTCAGGTCCCAGGGACACAGGCACAAAATCTGGAGTCTGATCCCACAAGTCTAGGGATGTTGGTGCTGTGTTCTTCAGGCTGGAGGGGGAAAGTCTCTGCAGAAGCCCCTTTGCATTCCTGGTGCATCATGTTCACTCTGGGCTGACCAGCTCTGGCCATATCCTCTGCCCTGATTTTCTTACTGCTCCATGAGGGTAGAGGCTGTTTGGTTTCTTCCCCACTGTGTCCCCAGCTGGAAGTACTGAGTCTGGCACACAGTATCTGCTCACAAGTAACTGCCGCAAAAACGATGGATGGAAGGAAGGATGGGGCAGTTCTCCCTAGTCTTGCTGCTCCCTCTCTGGGCTTCAGGCGGACACCAAGCGGCTAGGCCTCCCTCCTCCACCAGACACCAATTCCAGACCCAGAGTCCTGCTGTCTCCTGTTCAGAACACCTCCTTACCTGAGTCTGCCCCTCTTCCTGGCCACAGCCTGGGGAAACCCCTTCCTAATGCCAGGTAGGCATTAGGAGTCTGGGAATCAGACCATTTCGGACCTAATCTTCAGAACAACTTGATTAGGCAGTCAGGGAGGCCCAGAGAGGTGCAGTAACTTGCCCAGGGTCACACAGCAAAAGGGGGCAGAGCTGGGATTCTAAGGTGGTTGGCCCCGGAGCCTGACCTCTCCCTCCTCCGCTGGCTCTCCACCATCTCTGCATCATGTCTTCCCCAGTGCCGCCGATCTCTGAACATACAAAGTGCCCAATAAACAAATGAGTTCAGTCAACTCTGGGCCTTTCCACTGGATCTAGCATGATCCAGAGAGGGGCTCTCCCTGCGCCTTAGGCTTCTCCCTTTTTATTTTATTTTATTTATTTATTTATTTTTTTGTGGTACGCGGGCCTCTCACTGTTGTGGCCTCCCCCGTTGCGGAGCACAGGCTCCGGATGCGCAGGCTCAGCGGCCATGGCTCACGGGCCTAGCCACTCCGCAGCATGTGGGATCTTCTCGGACCGGGGCACGAACCCGTGTCCCCTGCATCGGCAGGCGGACTCTCAGCCACTGTACCACCAGGGAAGCCCGGCTTCTCCCTTTTTAAAGAAAAGGCTGCTGAGCCGGTAACCATGTAATTACTGAGGAAAGATGGTCTCTTTGGTTCCAAACCTGCTCAAACAAAGGAACTAGTGAATGCGAACAAACAAGCATATTTATTGTTCCTCTAACTCCTGCAGGACTGTGTCTCCCCCCTCCTCCCACAGCTGCTTGGCAGAGAACAAGTTGATCTTTCCCACTGTCCTGGGCCTCTCACTACCTTGGCCACTGACCATGAGTCTAAACCTGGGCTCACAGGGGTGGTTGGCTTGGTCTGGGTGCGTGCTACAGGAGCGGAAGGTCTAGACCTCAAGGCAAGGGAGGTGCCTGGGCCAGTTCACCTGCTAGGTGGGCCAGCCTAAGCCCCTTCCCCATTCTCAATTTGCTTAGCTGTAAATTAGGACCACGTGTTCACGGTGGCTCTTTGGAATTGGGGGCAGGAGTGAGGCAACAGGGCAGAATGTGCAGGACGGGGGTAGCAACGCTGGATCAAATCCGGACCTGTTTTCTCACTTGCAGCACTTGGGGTAGAGAATAGAGGGGAGGAGGAACTGGGCTGTATTTGGAAACCTTAGGACAGGGTATTAATAGGGGTCTCAGAGGCTTGGGTTAAGGATAAATCCAGAAACACATTTTGAACATCCAAATATCCAGAATTAGTGGGTACTGGATCTCAAATCTTGGAGACCAGATATATGAATTCAGATGTCTCACAGATACAGGTTATGGTGGCTGCGATTTGGATGTGCGAGGCACAAACTGGGAGAGAAACGGGGACCTGGACTTGAAGGGGAATCCAAGGCCTTACCTGCAGGAGAAGCAGAGACCTGGATTTGGGGGAGACTCAGAGGCAGGAATTGGGGGGAGAACCAGGCATCCGGATTGGGCGGAAGTAGAGGTGGGAACTTAAGAAGTTACTGGTCACGGAGCGGGAGGATCCGGCCATGGGGATCTTGCGGGGGGGGTCTCAGGACACGGCCTAAACCTTTGGTGGGACGCTCCGGCCTATCTCAGTCCTGCACTTGGAACCGACTGACAGTTTGGACCTAGGCCGGAAGCCCCGCCCTTCCCTGGGAACGACCAATCACCAGAAACCAAGTGATTACCTGACTGGATGACGGAATGCGTCTCCAAGGCGATGGCGAATCGCAGGAAGGCTCCAGCTTCACCCGGAAGCTGGAGTTCCCACCGCCCCCTGCGGAGGCGGGGGAAATGGGGGGGTCGCCATGGTAACCCCAAGGCCCAGTCAAGCCTGGACAAGATCGCAGGTTCCCCTCCCGCCAGGTTCTCCGCCGCTGAACTACCCGGCAGAGCCAGGGGCGGACCCCGGGCAGAACCTCATTTTCTCAAGCCTCTCCGTCCCGGCCTCCTCTGGTCACTTTTGGGAAAAGGGACCCTGACGCCGCGCCGGCCCGGAGAACCACGGAGATGGCAGTCTTCCGGGCGCCAAGAGCCGACCGCTCAGGGCACCCCGAAGGACCAACGCCAGGACTCTTGCGCTTCCGGTCCGGGCGGGGCCGCGGCGGGGTCGGCTAGTTGGTTCCGGAGCTGAGGCGGTTCGGGGTCTAACTTGGGCTTGTGCGGGAGTCCGCGGCCTAGAGGGGCGACCGGCCCGAGCCTCCTGCTCTGTCGGAGCCTCAGGTCCGAGTAGAGGGCAGGCTAGGGCTCCCGAGGAGCCACCCATTTTGCGTGAGGGTGGGAGCGCCTGGATACCGACCCCGGGGCCCTCCCTTCCGCCCTTCGGGGATGGAGGCAGGGTCATGATGCTCCCGCGGCCCGCGGGGCTGAGGTGAAGCGTTGGTGCAGGTCGAGCCCTGGACTGTGGCGTGGACGGTGGCTGCGAGTCCGGCTGCATGGGTTCTGCCCGGGATGCGCGGCTTGCCTATCTGAGCCTCAGTTTCCCCATCTGTAAAGTGGGGATGACACAGGCAACCACCTCATGGAGAGGCCACGGGCGGGGGGCCCAGCCAGAGCCTCCTGGAGGGAGGGCAGAGGTGGGCTCAGCACCAAGTCCCTCACCGTCTGGGCCTCCATGCTTCCAAAGGAGTTCCCTGAATGTGGCCGTGGACCCTGCAGCAAAACCCTGGTGAATCACCCTTCACTTTCTGTCTCCTGTCCCGAAATCCTGTCGCCTGGGAAGAGGAGGATGTGTGGGTCCCCCGGGGTAAGGAAGCTGTTGGCTCTCCATTCCCAGGCCTGGCTTGCAGGACACCATCCAGCCCTTTATTGTGTCTTGCTTAATTCAGGACTCACCTCCCGAGGGCTTGAGTTCCCCTGCTCTGCGGCAAGCCATCCTTCTAGAGGCAAGCCCAGCCCACTGTGTCCTGCCAGGTGGTCTCCTTGAAAGCCTCCCCTGTCCTGCCCCCACGAGGCAGGACCCAGTCACCCAGTACTCTTTCCAGAGGTTTCTCAATGACCTAAGTTTCCACCTGAAGGAAAGGAAAAAGAAGAAATTAATTGAGAAGTAAGTAGAAGGAAGGGACTAGTAATGATACAAGAAGAGATTCACAAAGTAGAACAGAGACAATACAGAAATGAGCAAAGCCAAAATGTAGTAAGTTCTTTGAAAAGATGAATGCAGTTGATGAGCCCCTAGCTAGACTGACAGAGAGGGAGGGAGAAGGGACACCACATCAGTCATGAAAGAGGGGACATCACTACAGACCCTGCAGGCACTAAAAGAATGCAGGAGTGTTATGAGCAACTGCATGCCAGTAAATCAGACCTCTCAGAAGAAATAGGCAAATTCTTTGAAAAAACACATTTTATCAAGTATTAGTTGATAATGCTAGCCTAATACACAACTGCTGTATGCCAGCACCTCGAGGGCCACGCTCCAGGCAGGAGCTGGGCAATAGTCCAGGAGGGCGTCGGGTGGGGCAAAGGGGGCTCAGAATCGAGGGACAATGGGGAAGGACAGGACTCCCACTCCTCCCACAGCTCCAAGCTCTGATGTGGGAGACCTGGCCTCTGGTTGGAGACACAGTCTGGCACCGCCACATGGTGGCCACTCAGACTGGGAAGACAGAACTACACAATGCAGCCTCTGAACTGCCTCCCAGTTCAGTCAAGTTACGTCTGGAGCCTCAAGCTGCCCACCCACACCTGCTGGGGACTGGGCAGAGGTGACTGGGGAGTGGCTTAACGGAAGGCGGCAGGAGAAGGCAGTCTTGAAAGTGGGGGCCCAGAAGCACCCCTACCCTCGGCACCCCTACCCTCAGGATCCAACCCGGAGCCCATCAACCTTCAAGACCCAGGATCCCAGCCCACTTCCCTCGGCTCTGGGACTCCAGCCCCACCCCCTGCACCGGGGCTGCCATTGGCCAAAGACACATTTTTAAAGTCTGTCTTCACCTTTATTGATTCCTGGCATGGTCGAGGAAGAGCCATCCCTGCCCTCTCCCCCCAGGGGAAGTCCAGCTTCCAGCTGCAGGAAGAGGGATCAGAGCCAGACTGGAGAAGGGACTTCCCAAGGATACCATCAGCAGCCTGGGTCTGCAGCCGGATCAGCTTCCTAGACAAATTTGACAGAAGAGAAATGCTAGGGGAAGGAGGCTCTCTGGTGAGTCAGGGCAGACCTCACTGAGACCCCCCAGGAAGGAAGTGGCTTGGTCAGCTGCCAGCTAAGAACCCCCCCACGCGCGCACACACACACACACACCTGGGCCTCCCTCCAGGTGCTCCAGCTGGCCACGCCACTCTCTGCTTTAGGGCCTTTGCCTATGTGGTTCCCTGCCTGCAATTCCCCCCAACGCACCCAGCAGACTAGGCCAGTGTTAGTGCTGGGAGGAGGTGCGGCAAAGGGCACTCCTGTAGGAGGGTACAATCCGGGCAAAGGCCGGGAGCCTCGACGCGCCCACGGAACTGAGCTCCACCTGCCACCTGGAGCTCCACCGGGTCGCTGAGCTGGGACAGCAGGGAGTGGGCCCAGTTGGAGCGGTAGCCGCAGCTGTAGCTGCCGGCGTGTTGGGGGCCCCACGTAGGTCAGCACGAGGTCCGCGGAGGGTTGGGTGGTCCAGGCCACCGCCGAGGGCTCCTCTTCACCGGACCGTAGCAGCAGGAAGGAGACGTCGGGCACGTGGCCCTCGCAGCGTAGGACAGCATCGCGGCCCGGAGTCACGGCCCCCGTCCACAGGGGCCGGAGCCGCGGCCTGGGCAGGGGTCCTGGGAGAGCAGCGGGTCGGTCAAGTGAAGCCCCTTGCCCCAGGCAGCAGCGGCCCAGTCCCGCTCCGCTGCCAGCCCCCTTCACCAGCCCAGGTTGCTGGCCTCACACCGTGGTCCCTGCGCTGTAACCGTAGTGTCTCCCCGTACACGTCCCCCCACCCCCCCCAGACCCGGGCCTTCTCTGAGACTCCATGGGGTCCCCAGCGAACGGCCCTCAGGGCTTCAAGACAGGTGAGGAGAAGGAAGACAGGAGCCAGGGGAACGGGTTCCCACAGTGGGCACAGCACAGTCAGTGGTCTGGCGGTGGACCCTGTGCGGGGGGGCTCTGCCTGACCTCCGACCCCAGGAGATCCGGATGAGGAAATCAGAGGAACACACAGACCCCTGGGCCGGCGGGGGCTCGGGGAGAATTACAGCTCAACCCTCCGCCGTGGGCACCTGGGCGCAGGCAGCGGTGGGGTCATAATCTGACCACAGCCGACAGGCCTGTCCCACAGGGAACCTAAGGCGTGAGCCAGTGCAAAGCCGTTAGCACTCTGAACCCTAAGTTCTGGGTCCTCTCTCCACGACCTCCACCAAAGCGCTACACGTAGCCCCGGTGCTCACGTCGGTGGGAAACAGGCCAAAAGGCTGGGCGTCCCAGGGCCCTGGCGGCCGACCTCGCGCTCCCCTAAGGAGCCGCCGACTCTGCGGGCAGGGCCGAGGCCCAGAGCGCTTCCCTTCAGCGTCCTGGGACAGGCGGGCACCCTCGTTTTGCGTACGGGCAGAAGGAGGCTCCGGGCCGCTGTGCCCGCCGCTCACCGTCCACGCGCAGCTCCACGGGCGCGCTGGGCGCGGAGCCCGCGAAGGGCGGCGCCGTGTCTGTGTAGACGCAGCTGTAGTTGGCCGAGTCGACCGCCGAGACGTCGCGCAGCTCAAAGTGGGCCTCCGTCCCCGCGGGACTCAAGAGACCGTGCACCCGGCGCTGGCCCGCGCCCTCGCGCACCAGGGAGAAGCGCACGCCGGCGCGGGGGGCCCGGCACCGCAGCTGCACCAGGCGTCCCCGGCTTGGGACTTGGAGTCGCGGGCTCGGCCGACAGCTCCGGCGCCGGGAGCGTCCCTGCGGGGAAGACGCGGCAAGGCTGACGCCCAACGCCGCATCTTTCTGCCGGAAAAAATGCGCCCCGCTCCCTCTGCTCCCTCCCGGGAGGCCCGCCTGCACCGCCCTGCGTAAAACCGCACCATCCGCCCGACGTCCCGGCCCTCGTCCTCCGTGGACGCTCATGCACGCTCCTACACTGTTCCTAACTAATTTGTGTGCCCACAAAAATAGAGGGGTGTGGGGTCCTGTTTTGTTGGAGGAGCATCCGCGCCGGCCTCCCCCGCCGGCGTCCACTCCTGGGGTTTGCGCCCCTGGTTCTTGGCGGGTCCTGCAGCCCCAAACTGGCCACCCTCAACAGAGAGGCCTCGGCGCCCACCCGGACGCCGGAGGCTGGGGGCCCCCTTGCATGTAGCGCCTGCATGGCCAGACTTGCGCGTGGACCCAATTATTCTTCGCGGGGCCACGAGGCTGGGCTCATTTTTCTATCCTCAGCTGGGGAAACTGAGGCCGGGCAGATGAGTAGGGATTGAGCCATGGCAGTTACCGGGACCCTTCCCTGGGTCTCTCCTCCCGCTGCCCCGAGGGCAGAGCGCCCCCGCCCTCCCTCCCCGCTGCCACATCTCCCAGGCTCACCATCGCTCAGCACCAGCTCAGCGGGCGCGCTGTCCAAGGACCAGAGCGCTAGCTCCTCTGGCAGCCGGTAGTGGCACGTGTAGACACCGCCGTCTCCCGGGGCCAGCGTGTTCAGCTGGAAGAAGACGCGGTCTGGGCTGGTACTGGCCATGGGTACCTGCAGCACCTCCTCGCCCCGCCGCAGCTGGAAGTCCACTCCGCTCAGGGGCGCCACGCAGGTGAGAGTCGCGCGCGAGCCGGGGCGTAGGAGCCCTGCAAACCCGCTATTCAGAGTCAGCGTGGGTGGCGGCAGCGTGGCTGCAAGGCAGGGACAGTCACTGGGGTGGCCAGAGTCCCAGCCACCCCCGCTGTGGGAGCGTTCCTTGCAGCCCAGCCTCCAGACCTCTTGCCCCGGGAACAGCCTTCCTTGTGGCAAATTCCCACGCCACTATCAAGGCAGGGCAACTGCGTGGCTACTGTTTCCCAGACCCAGTCCTGGGCAGGGGCATTCAGGGCCGGGGGTCAGGGTAAAAGCTACTCTGTCTCCAGGAGCCTCCTCCCCCAGGAAGCCCTCTGGGATGGTCCACCCACTCACCCAGCTCCTCTATGGTCACAGTGGCACTGGGCTCCAAGGGGGTGCCTGATGCGTGGGTCCGGTAGCTGCAGCTGTAGTTGCCAGCCCGGTGGACTGGGAAGGTGGCCTGCCTGTCCTTTGGGGCCTCAGCCACCTCCAGAAACTGGTCATCGCCTTC